AACCTAATTTTTGTGGGTTTTTCATTTTTGAGACCAGTTTTTTTCCGTTTTTTTTAGTCTTTTTGTTTTTGCTTTGCAAACACTATTTGCCAATCGACGTTGGCGAGTTATAGGTATTTTTATTTTTCCTTTTTTTTGTTTGGTTTTTGTTGCCTGGTTCGTTTGTCTTGTTGTTTTCCTTTGCAAATATTAATTGTTGTAAAACAAAACTAGTTATTGTTATTGCTATTGTTGTGGGCCTGCAACTTTTACTTGCTGCTTTTGCTGCCAAATTGAGGCGTGCCGCCTGCTGCGGCCATAATGGAAATCTTTCGGCCAACTTAGCTGGCTTTTCGTTTTTAGTTTTTCGCTTTTCGCCCCGAGCGGCCGAGGAAGTAAAAGCCGTTGCCAATTGGCCAATTGAAGACTGCGACTTCGGGCATTTTCCCCCTTTTTTTCACCAGCTATGAAAGCGAAACTGAATCCCCCAACACCAACTTCTGGCCCCCACCGTGTTTGCCTGTGTTTTTTAGCCTCTTGGCGTTCATTTTTTATTTTATTCATTGTCTTTGACAAGTTCGCCTTCAACTTCGGTCGGTCAGTAGCGGTACAGAACCCGTTGTCGTTGTTGTTGTTTCTGTTGTTGCCTCTGTCATTCACGTTGCTGCCTTTTCTCACACTCAGCCATTCTGTGATTAAGACTTACACGGGAAAAGAATTTTCAACATTTTTCTAGGCCCCAATAAGAGCATGGTCTTTGACGTCAGTAAGAGCGCTAAGTATTCTCATAAAACAGGTTACTAAAAACATCTTAATACTTTAGTGAAATATAAATGACGCAGTATTTACAACTTTTATACTGATCATTTGTTTTTAAAAGATTAAAAGATTAAAAGATTTACTAATGATTACGCTCAATTTTCAGTCTATTCAAAATTCAAACAACAAATACGAGTATAAATAAACATATTTGTCTATGTTGCCCATTAATGTGCGTTGGAAAAATCCTTGTTATCCTATCCTAACATAATTTGTAACCCTTAAATGATTTTCATTTTTCTTTTAAAACTATAGCCTTCCTTGACTATTGCCTAGCATAAAATATTATTTTTTCCCTGTGCAGTCTTGGTTTACGTTTACGTTTACGTTCTCCAAACTGCCATGGAGTTACTGCTGGCTAGCATTCATTTTTCCGTTGCGTCAACGGACTTTCAATATTCTTTGGCATGCTTTTTGTTCTGTTGAAGGGGGTTGACTGGGGGGGGTCTGTAGTTGGTATGATAATTTCCATAGCTCCATGCCTCTGACACACATTTGCACTCACCATTTTTAAAGCTCGACTTCGCGCCGCGTATCCACAAGCTACAAAATCGATTCTCCTTGAGCTGGCTGTTGGGTATTAGATTGGATTGATCTGGACTCGATTCGATTCGGTTCGATTGGGTTCAATGAGATTGTTATAGCTTTCGAGACACTGCAAACTGTCGTGGCTAACCGCACATATTTGGCCACTAGTCACTAGTCACTTTCAAAAATCCTGGCCCCCAATAAGGCGAAGTGGACCGCTTGTCGCTTCGAACTCGCACGTTTGACTGAAAAACTGAAACTGATTCGAGCGCTGCCTCCGCCAGCTGCCAAGACAAGGCGACGACAACAACGGCCACGGCAGCGACGTCGGCGTCGACATTTGGAGAAAATGTTGATATTTATTTGACAAAAACAAAATATTAACGTTTAAAAGGATCAAAAGTATGATTTATGATTTATGTTCAAGAAAAGAGAACACATACTATGTCAAAAAATGTCATTTTTTGTTGAATTTGATGTTCTTTTTTCTTCCAGTGCATTGAATGAAGCAGCGGAGAGTAGAGCTGAGCTTAGTTTGGCCCCCGTATTGAGCAGGGTTTTGGTTTCGGTTTTTGTTGCTTTGGTGTTTGGTGTTTGACAACGGCTGAGCTTCAGTTTCAGGTCCGCCACGTACGAGCGCCATATACGATCCGTCCAACAACAAAGGCAGTACCAGCAGCAGCGACAGCGGCAATGGCAGCAGCAGCAGCATAAAAACAGTTTTTGGTTTGCAGCCTGCGCTGTGAGCTGCATGGAAAATTAAATTTGCTGCGTTGCCTTTGCTCGGCTCTTTCGTCTGCCGCTGTTAGTAGGCAACAGAGGGTTAACAGTGGACTAGACCATATCCATTGGCCAGCCATTCAATCCGACGTTCAACCAAGCACCTTTCAACCGGTTTGAATTGGGGCCTTTTAACCATCACTGAATCAATCACAGATTTAGGCAATTTCAGTTTTCTCACTAATTTATTTTATCGCAGCCGCATTTATTATACAATTTTACTACATAAAAAGAAACATATTTAAAACTTTTTACAGGTGTTTCGATCATCGACAAAAATATTGCCGGCTTTCATTTAATTTTACAACATCGAATAAAAATATGCCGCTTATTAAAAAGGCAATTTATATTCTTCATGGCTAATAAAAGTTGATAAGTGGAATATTATAACCCCAAGTACTTTAAATTACCATCACAAAATGGATTTCTAACTATTATTTCTTAAATTTAAAACCTCAAATTTAATAAATATTAAAAGTGCATAAAACTACAAACATTTATAAGCATAATTGATCAAATTATATGCCATTAAAAACGCTCTGTAACTACCTTAATAAGCGATGTTACATCATTAAATTATTAAATAATTTATTAAAGATCGAAACAGCATTAACCCATATAAAAATCAATTTTAATTTGTTGAGTTTATGGGCTAAGCATCGATAAATTTAAATAGGTTATCACCGTTGATTCGATAACTAAGCCAGGTGAAACTAGGTAACTCCCCCACCCACCCACTTTGAACCGGGTGGTAGCCAACATCATTCGTTATCGGGTTTGGGATTTGGTAAACAAACATGTTTGATTAGCATAAAGACAAACGGCCAAGAGCCGTCAGCCAAATGTCTCCGACCTGATCCCCATCTCCATCTCCATTTCCATCGCTATTTCCATCTCCATTTGCGACGGCGTTAAATGCAAATTCGAAATATGATTTACAAAATACGCAGCGCATAACACTTGGCTGACGTTTCACACGATAGAAAGCAGGAGGCAGCGGAGGTTAATTAGCATATGGGTTTCTGTGAAGGGGTTTCATAAGCGGGCCGCCCCTTCCATTTCCAATCCCTGACCTGGGACCACGCCCCCGAAACCAATCAACAAACTACGCTCTGATGAAAACGAAAGTCCAGATTGGTGTGATTTTTCTTTTGGTATTATCGAAGTTCTTAGTCTCTCAGTTCCTGGAATCTTAGCTCACCAGAAAATAAGAGGCTTCTCACGCTTTGCATGCCATAAATTTCACCGCCTTTCACTGTAAATCATTTGGCCAACTTAATTGCCTGCATTTTAATGCCCACTCCATTGCGTGCCATTTGCCATTTGATGTTTGCTGCAGCTTTTGCTTTTCGCAATTCTGTGTGCCAGTTTTCAGTTTTCCCCCAAAGAAAACTCTTCCATGCGATGCTCTGTTTCGCAAGCGGGCCAAGTTTCACATCGGATGCACCGCAAAACACTAAAAAATACAGCATAGAAAACCGAAAGCCAGGAAGAAGGGATCTATTCGAATGCCCATTACCCATTATCTATGCGGTTCAGGTGGGACCTTATCGACGAGTGCATTGGCATGGCTTTCGAAATTGTTATACCGATTGAATATCAAATCGAACGACTTAACCTTCACTACTGCGGCAAGTTCGTGCCTTAAGTCTTTTGTTTTCGTACACTCACATATGTACACACACACACACTGACGTACAAACTGAAAGTGAAATTTCTTTGTAGGTAATTTCGTTGGCTGCCTTTATGATTTTGGTAATTGTTGAAAAAGAAAGGCACTCACAATCGCATCACATCGCTGATAAGAAACGTGATTTAATTTTTAGCTACAAATTATGAAAAACACAAGCGGCTTTTCACTTTTCAATGGCCTTGCCTGGGGGGCCTTGTCTTGTATATTTTTTTTCTTCTCGAATTTACCTTCAGATCAACTGGAATCGGACCATCGGGGTGCCCTGGTCATCTCACTCTCTTGGCTGCGGAAGAACAAAAACTCGTCTGGGGAGTTACCCGCTCTTTTTGCCCTGTAATTTTCGAGTTCGATCTGCCCTTTCCAAAACCATGTTTATTTTTATTTACAAGGATTGTTGGAGGTTTCCTACCATATCTTATTTTTTATCTTATTCACAAAATAAATTTGTTTTAGGTTAGATTAGGAAAGTTTATTCAAGGTTGTATCTTATCTCACTTCCTAGCAAGTTCTTAAATTCCAAGCTATTTATAATAATAATATTTTGATGGATTACCTCTATTAATAAACAGGAATGTCACTTAGAATTATGGGTAATAAAAACCAGACTTTAAGGTATTTAAAATATTAAGCTACACCTTAATAAAAATTTAAATCTCTAAAGAATTCTATCGAATTCCCTAATAAATAGTTCGAAATATGTTTTCCCAGAATATCTAGGATTTAATCCATTTGGGTTGTTGACTCACCCAAATGCCCAACCCAACATAATCTTTTGAGTTTTATGGTAGAAGAGCATCGGATATTCAGTGCTCCAGATAGCACCTTGTTTTTTCCCGTGCTCTTTGGCTTTTCCTTCCTGCCATTGTGGCCCAGACAATGATGGAGCTGCACTTGGGTACTTGGATACTCGGCTGTCGACTGTTGGATGTTGGAGGAGGAGCTGACGATAGCGATCTGCTTTCGCTGCCCCTTAATCAGCCAGTCATCGGCGAATGAGCAAGCTCACCCCGGTAGTTGGGCTTATTTGCCTTTTGTTTGTTTAATTTTTGTTTTGGTGTTTATGTTTTTGTTTTTGTTTTTTGTTTTGTTTTCAGTTGCCGCCACAAGATTGATGCGAGAACAAGGTTTGTCGCTTAGGTCTTTTGTCGGCGGTCGCTTTGGAACTGTACTGCCGGATGTATTCTAATAAAGCCAACGCGGATTCAAGGCCTCCATGGGCCGGGCCAACATGGTTAACCTCAGCACGCTTTTAATCGTAACAAAATATAATCGCACAGAGATTCACACGGAATTGAGCGCTGATTTCTTGATAGATGAGCTTTTCGTGCCCTCGATCTTGGTGTTTAGTAGACATAGAAGCAGCTGGTGCCCATGCTCGGGGAATTCGATGGGGAAGTGCTGGCCTCAGACGTCGTGGGTTTTTTATGGCTGCCTCGAGTTTTCCATCTCTTCCCAAAACGTTTAAAGATCCCTGTCAGAAGTTTTGAGCGCGGCTTTGTGCTCTCTATCCTGGGAGAATCAGATGGTGTTATAGATTCAGACGGGGTCATTGGTTCTGGCAAGGACAAGGGTTCTACGAAAAGGGAAATAACTGGGGGTTTTGGCGGGAAAAGAGGTAATGGAGGGGGCAGAGGATTCTGCAAGCCCTCCAGCACCACTTTAAGCTTTTCCCTGAGATTGTTATACTGATCTGTCTGTAGGTTGGACTCAAAAAGATTCTGTTGGCTGGTATAGCCTTCACTCGTTATAACTGGGATACTAGGTGCCTTACGTCGACGATGGCGAGGCGGTGGTTTTGGAGCAGTGGGAGGAAGTGGAGCTGGACGCTTCACGACCGGAGCCAAATGAATGTCCAGCACCAATCGCTCGGCACTGCTAGAGGCACTATAATTAAGGCGCCACCTAAGAAAGATTCAGAAAGTTAATCCAAACATAACATTTAAAAAGTACAAACTCACCCCACCAGGATGAGAATCGCATTATAAACAGGCAATGCTACCAATCCGAGTATTAAGAGCTTCACCAGAGGACATGAGAATTGCTGGAGCTGGACTAGCCAGTCTACGGAGCAGCAGCCTTTGGACCCCTCCACAATTTCCTGACTCTGGTTCAACACACTGAGTGATGTCATGTGTCCTGACCAAGACGAAAAGGATGGCCAGATCTTCGCCATGGTACAACCGAACGACTCCCAGGACAGCCACTTCATTTTGATTCCTTTTACTTCATTCGTTTGAAGTAATAGTTTCCGTTTAGAAAATGTATAAAATAATGACTTTGGATGCCAGGAACGTGTGTGAATTAATAATCAAATTCCGTTTTGTAAACAATTTTTTGGATCTTTCTCTTTTTTTAAGCCCATAATTTAGTCAGAAAGTTTAAGTTGTTTATAAGTTTTAATATAAATACAAAAGGTAAGAAACTCTAAGACAGTATTCACTCCCTCTTCCGCTTGACTAGATCCACATAGAAGTCCTCGTCCATATCCATGTGGTCTACATTGGTTTCCGCCGCCACGGGAAGGTATCTGTAGCAATAGCACTGTGGTAACCCTACGGGTAACATCCCGGGAGCCACAAAGTTGCCCTCACCCACGGAAACTAGCGTTGCCTCTGAAAGATTTCTTAAGGATTTCAAACGACATCTCAAGAAATGGATGCAGCAGATGGCGGGCAAAAGGAGTAAGGAAAACATAAGCAGCCAGAGCCAGATGGCGTTCTAAGAAGTCATATTTAAGGGGTATTGTTAAAAATTAATTAAGTTATCTATAAAGTATTATATAAGAGAATGGCTAAAAAGGCATGCTCAATCGCAGCAGCAACCTTGTATCTGGGAATCCATTTAGCTTACCATTGGCCTAACGAACCGATTGCAGAGTTCGGTATACTCCACCATAGCCTGATCCTCCTCTCTAGTGAGGGGCTCACAGCTCTCCATCTCGCCATGGGTGGCCTTGTCGACCATGCGAATGTACTCATCCAGTCCGGTTTCCACAAGTGAACTGATGTTTCGAGACACTTCACCCATCTTATTGTTGGGATAGTTTTGCAGGAAATCGTCACCCTGCTCGATCTTGGACAGCAGATGTTCCATATATTTGGCAAAGCTACCATAACTCCCGGATAGAAGTCTATCTATTTCTTTCAGCATATCTAGAAGTTGCTGGATAATCGTTTCCAATGGTTCACCCAAGTATTTTTGATAGGCGCGCAGGTGAATCGCCTGGTTTTGTAGAGTGACTCCTGGTTTTACCGCATTAGCTAGGTTATCCAGTTCTGTGGTCAACGCTGGCAAACGACCTGGCTTGGGTTCTGGCACAAGTTCAGGACACAGGTCCTTTTTCAGTAACTTGCTATCATATCTGGAAATATTACCCTGTAATAATTCTGTGGCCATTTTTTCCGCCTCGGGATGAATAAGTTGGTGTGGAAGTGAAGCATTGTCCTTTTTCTCCAGGGTTTTGTCGACATCCTTCATTACATCATCGCGAAGGCCCTCTAGGTTATAGAGCTCCTCCAGACCCAAAACATTAAACAAGCTATCGTTGTAAACGCAGCTCTGCAGGATATCCGCGGTTCTCAACATGGGCAGTGATCGAAAGATGGTTAGGTTTTTTGGGATATACTCATTCGGATTGATGAACTTGTTGACCACCGGCAAAGTGGGTTTTCTGTTAAAAAATAAGCTTACTCTCCCAAAGGGCTGAATTATTAATCATCTTACCTAAGGCAAAAGGCTTGGTACATCAAAGCTCCGTGGATCAGATTGAAGAGTACTGGGATCATGGCAACTGAGAACAAGAGGAAAATAGAAATCAGGACAGCGCAGAGCAGCCGACTGGCCACTTTTGGATTAGAAAGAGCCACCAGAAGGGCAAGGATCAGAAAAAGGGGCACCAGCATTAGTAAAACAATAATGAAAAGCGTAGTTCCTAACCACGTTGGCCCTAGTTTTCTTCGCAGGGCTGCGGCTGGTGTACTTGTAGGTCTAACTTTTTCCTTGTCCACATAAGACTCATCCTTGTTAATTGCCTTGACAACCTGTCGCAATACTTCCAAAGATGCTGCATACCGCTTTTGCAACTCCTGGGCTAAAGATGAGATTAGGATGTTATTAAAAGGATTAGGGCGCTATATAGATTACCGCTCCTATCAAGATTATCCTTAATGTCGCTTATAATATTACTCATATGATCTTTAGTTGCATTGGATATCTGCCGCAATTGCTGAGCAGCCTTTTGCGGGTATTTTATAAAGTTGCTGTCTACCACTTCCTGGATAGCGTCCATATATATTTCCAATTTGGGTAACTTGGAGAGGAACAAGTTATTTCAGATTGTTTATTTCTGAAATATTTTTTATACTACTAATTAACTTACTTCATCATAATGTAAACACCCCATGTCTAGCATCCCAATATCATGCTGTCGGTAGAAATCTTGGCACTCCCTTTGGTTACATTTCGAGGTAAGGAACATTATGAGATCGCGCTTTGCGCCACGTAACGCTATAGAGGATTACTTCTTTAGCCACCACAAAAAACATAAGCATAACCTTCTTTACCATCCCGAAACTGAGTGGCCAAAGGCCTGATATTGGGGATCTCATCATTGACCTTGGCCATAAGTGGCTTAGCCTGTGGCATATTCTGGAGCACTTCAATCAGTTTTTCAATGGCCTTGGCATGGTCTTCACCCTCACTATAGAGCTCCTTGATACTAGGCTCGTCCGTCATGGCATCCTGGATCCTCTTGACCAACTCATTGTAGTTGACGACATATAAGTGATGCATGTGATCGGATACTGCTTTGAATGCAATGCCTTTCTTTGATTTGATTGAGTTACGTCGCAGACATTCACTACTTTTTAGGCTCTTCAGGTTTTTATTCAGCCGGGTTGCCGCCAGAATGGCCAAAATTAGAAATAAACTGGATAACTATCTATGACCACTCTTTGTTGCTATTAACTTCTCATACTTACATCATCAAAAATGCCAGAATGGCGAGAAGGATGCCACAGCAGTAGCGGGTGCATTTGCTGGATCTTCGAGTTTTCTTGCAACGCGTACAGCAGCAGGCATAAATCAGTCTAATGGGAATCAGTTCTCTGAATATAACCTCTCCAAATATCTAGCATCTCTCACCCAATGATGGGTACCAGCAGAAAGAGAAAGAACAGTATTGGAATCAATACCTTAAGCCCCGTCTGAGTTGTTAAAAACGCCGTCCAATCATCATTCTCTACCTTGGCTCCAATGTCATTTCCATCCTTAGATATATATCCTTTAGGCACATCTTTGGAGTCCGAGACTATAGAACCAGTGACAAGATGTGGCACATAAGTAATTGGACTCAATGGTCCCCTATCCACGTAGTTCGAATCATCTTCCGTTTTGGTCTGTGGATCTACGTCCCCATCCTGTGGCTTGAATTTGCGGAACTTCACCAAGGATTCCTGCTCGATCAGAATGATAAAGGGACGCAGCGTCTGATTGGTCTGACACTTGACCAATGGGATTCCAAGGGACATGAGATAGTACCAACGATCCCAGGGCCAAAACGCTTTTATTTTCATTCTTTTAAACTATATTTATCAACAGGAATGATTAATATAGCCAAGATTGCTAAAAAGTTTAGTTAAAGATACCCTTTCAGATCTAGATTTCCTTAACTATTGATCTGACCTAGAACTGAACATGTTAACCCATTATTTGTTAGACCCTCCTTTTCATACATAAAACCACTTTAAGTTTATTGAGAAAATTTTGCAAACGACAGAGAGAACCATCAACGGAGCTCGATGATTGACTGGCAACTGGGTTTCCCCTTGTGAGTTTCAGGGGTCTTATTCGATAATCTTTACTTGCGCTGGGCAATATTGATACATGGTTACTTGACTTAAGCGGAAATCATTTAATGTACGTCAAATGTAAAATACAACATACATTCTTATTTGTATAATAATACTAAAATTATGTAATTGTGTAATCCGTATAATATGCTAGCATGTCTGTATATTTGTGTATGTTGTGTGTTTATGTTTATAGGTATTTTGGAAACTTACAGCTTGCCCTTAGGTTCTAGACAATACAATTGGAAACGTTTAAATGCTTTAGGGTTTCTTTTGCTTTTGGTTTTCACTTACTAAACTATGACAACGTGTTAAAATACGTGTTTTATTCAAATATTTGCATCTCGAATCTGTGGCTGCTTATCGTTTTCTTTTTTTTTTATTGAATAGAATTGGTATATCAGTGTCCGAGTGCATAACTTGTCGGTTGTCGGTCTTAAGGAAGTGTGTAGTGTTGTAATTCGTATTGTTACTAAAAAATACATTAAATGCATTGAATAACTTCCAACTCTTCTGTTCTGCTCTTTTTCTTCTAAATTAAAATGGCAGTTTTGGTATTGATCATATTTTGTTTTTCGCGCTTTTGATTTCCTGGAAGTTTACAGATTCCATAAGGTGTTTGATCGGTTATTATTTATGTAGTTGCTTGCTAGATATTGTTTCGTTTTATTTTTTGGGTATGTCTCGCCTGCTCTGAGTGTGTGCATAATAAAATTATGAGATTCCTTAAAGCTTCTGCGGCCGTGCGGCCCGGCGAATGGCCAACTTCTTCAAGGGACTCATCAGATCCGACGCCTGCCGCTCGGCCCTCTATAGCCCGGAGTCTCCAGGCTCCAGAGTTCATTAAATGCTCCGGTTGGGACAATCCCCCCGCCGGATCTATCCGATTCATCGTGCTCGTCGTTTGGCAACATTTTTTTAAAAGTAATTATAAGAGGGTATTTGAGAATTTTCGTATTTCATTTTTGCTTCGGCCTGCACTTAATATTAACTAAAAGTTCTTCTTCAGCTTCCAGGTCAATGGCAGATCTCCTGGTCGGACCAAAGTGATAACATACACGTGGTGCTACACTACTACTTAATTAAATTATATAATTTCAGTTATCTTTTTGTTTACGCTTTTAACTAAAAGTACAGTCTCAGTAGGGGGTATACAAGGAAACGGGGCAAAGGGCGTTTGGGTTCAAAATAAAATCATCCATGTTGCCACCTCTCGAACAGACCTCCGTCTCCGTCCGTCTAATCCTGCTCGGAGGCCCCCGGGTAGTAGTAGGGCGGTGGACGTTCGTACTCCGAGGATGGCGGCGCAGCTGGAGGATTGTGGTATCGTGGTGGCTCGTGGTCCCAGTGCCTGCGGATTGTAATAAAATTGAATTAGTCTATCGGAAATATGCAGAGGTTATTAAATATTTATAGTGCGACCAACCACGCACAACACAGAAACACAGAAGGGCGCAGTAGCTGCGAGTAATCAGATTAGTTGGTCAACATAGATGGGAACCCGATATAGAGTTAGTGGCATTTGGTCATGAAAAGACAATCATCAAAGAGGGGACCAGCAGTTTACTTATTGGGGATAAGCTTTGAGTAATTAGCTGTGGGCTTGTCTGCTAAGAGATCGTGTCCAGAAGTGTCTGTATCTTTGGAACAGCAATCTACGAAAGCTTTTCCAATTAACAAATGTAAACAGTTCAACACACAAACATATAGCCTTAAGTGACGTAAAGATTTTCACAATATTATTGCATAATTTTAAAAATATAATAACAAAATCAATGCCAGCAATGTTTATTCATTACTTTCAGCCAATCGAAAAGAAAACTGTACTTTGCAAATATATAAACCAAGAGGGAACTAAGCAGATGTGTAGGGGGTTTCCAGTCCTTTCACAAACAGTCAGAAATTTATTCAAATCGAGGCTGTCGGGGAAGCACACCGATCGAAGCTTTCAAGAGGCAATTTACCGAGCAGAAACCGAAACCGAGCATTTGGGTCATGCCTAAAAGAAACCATCTGCCGCCAATGCCTTTGGCCGAGTGCCATTGGTCACACCTTTAGCGCTAAATTAAACAAAATTAAAAATTAGCGATTTAGCAGCGGTCTAAACGATCAAGGAAAACTGGTTATCGATGCTGTCAGGCTAATTAGTTATCAGTGTTACGCAGCTAAGATGCATTTACTGTGGTTATAATATATTGGTTACTTGGTAACTTAACTATACTTTTTTTTAAATTATGTTTTTTCCAATGTCTCAGTTAAGATAGTCTTTTTAGTAGTGCTTAAAAGCAGGAAAAGCTTAACGGGGATTTGGAAGACACTTACGTGGGCGCCATGTCGTTGTAGCGCATGCTGCTGCTACCTGGGGCTCCATCCCCGCCGCGATCTCCACAGGATCGATTGCTCCGCGAAACGCCAGGCGAGGTGTCCTCATAGTAGTCCTGCTGCTCCCGGCGCCGCTCATAGGCTTTGCGCCGTTTCTTGGGAACACTAAAAGGGTCGATGCAATGGGACAATAGGACACAGAATTAGCACAGCTGCTAGCTAGGCAGGTCAACAGGGTGAAAGGATGATCTCTTACTTAGCCAATGGTACATGTTCGCGATCGCGTTCACTATAAGCGTCGTACAGATAGTCGCTGCTGCGGGCGGGATGATTCGGGGTTAGCGGTGAAATGAGAAAAATGTGGACGGCTTAGTTGTGGTGCAAACACTGACTTTTTTTTAGCTTGGTACATGCGTACATTTATAAAACAAATGCTGAAAGTTAATTAAGGTAAATGGTATCCAACCCAAGGTGTTAGTCTGTCTTGCTCTTGCTGGGAGAGTTATCGGGATCCGCAATCGTTAGGGTCATCTCGATCTCGTCCCAGGCAGCTGAATCTACTTCATCATATTGAATTGGATCTTCACCACCACCACCGCGAGTGGGTTCCCCGGAGGCACAGCCACAATAGGCCTGTTGCCCTCCGGAGCAGCTAACTATTGGCGGTGGGACATACGGTGCACCCGTGCAAATGGGACAGCTTTGGGTTAGGGCGGGTTAGCTGAGATGGCTGAAAGCGAATTAGAGTATAGGGAAAACAACTTACCCTCCCTCGACCACGCCAGCGGCTCCAACGGTGGCCAAATATGGATAGATCTTCTTGTACAGGCACATCAGACGGTGGGCCACGAACAAGATGGGTAAGAAGAGCAGGGCACACAATAGTATGCCAACCCAGAATCCGTTCTGCAAATTAAATTGTCATTGAAACATACATCTTTTCAAGCGGGAAAATCAATACAGATGTCATAAAACCTATCGTCTCTATAGACATTTTCCCTTAATATCTAGGATATTAATAATAACTCACAATGGGATCCACAATGCGGTGGCAGATCAAGTCGACTCCTCGGTGATATATATAAGAGATGGGCGCACAGTGTCCCACCCTTTCGTTGGCCTCCACTAATATCATAGCAATGTAGTCGTTAACTATTTGTTCAATTGTCATTGTGAGGTTGCCTCCTAGGGTATTGATGTAATCCTTGCCGCGCGTTTTGATGAAGTTCTCGGCTTTTATTGCTGTGGCAGTCAGAATGTTTATGGATTTAGCAAAGTCATTGTTCTCGTATGTAACTAGCTCATCAATCTTCTTCAAATGGGCTTTCATCTTGTGCACAATGGCCTCGAGCTTTGGCACAAAGTTATTGTAGATGGCCTTGGCATTGTTACCCTCATTCCAGAAAGCCACCTTGGCCCAGCCGTAGGCCGGGTACTCCAGATCGTTGGAAAGTTTGAAGAGTTGATTGGAAAGTTTATTCAGGTCCGTTAACGTAAATCGGTCGCACAGTCCATTTTGATAATACAGGGAGCTGTGGTACGAACCAAACTCAGCATTTCCGACGTCAGTCAGTTCCTTTTGGTCTTCCGGCGTCAGCAGTATCACATCAGAAAGTTCTTGGTCGAAGACCTTGAACTCCTCTGCATCGCCCTCTCCGTGGGTCATCACCTTAATGTTCGCCAAATCGTTGATGTCGTAAATGTTATTCACTCGCAGCATCTCAAATATGGTCTGGTTAGCATGACAAGCCTTGATAGCGGTTGACATTTTTAGAGGTTGCGACAGGTCCTTGGAGCCTTCGCCCGTCGGCAAGAAGCGATTTAGATCAATTTGAGCGTCCAGTTGTCGAAACAGGCTGTTGTTTTCTTGATCCCTCAACGGAGCACAGGCTCCTTGGTAAGTCACCATGCCCAACATAAAGTAGAACAGACCAACAAGTGTGATGAAGGAGAAGACACAGAATATCAGCAATATGGCTCTAAATATTGTAATAAAAAATAAGATTCAATAAATGATGATATTATATAGATTCCATTACTTACAGAAGCAGGCAGGTTGCGCCGGTGGACTTGCTGCAGCATTCATCACCGTATCCGGTTCGACGGCGACCAAAACAACCACACATAAGAGCAAAGATAAGAATAAAAAGTACCTAAAAAATAAAGTACATTTTTAGGTTAAAGAACTCTAAAATGTGGAGTGCAGTCTTACCAGAAGGATGAGCAGGCACACAATTAGGCTAACAACGTTTCTATCGTGGCCAAATCGTTCGTAAACGTCGTCGAACGACTTGGTCGAGGTCAAAGTCTTCTGCTGGATATCACTCAGAACTCCCTCCACAATGTTCTGCACATTTTTTGCGTGCTCGCGGAATACCGACCTTCCCTTCGTCAACTCTTTCACCATGGGCGGCACAACGAGGGACAGCTGGGTCCTCACCTTCTCGCTAACCTGGTTCAAACGCGCAAGCCCTCGTTGAGGTATATAGTAGTACTTCTGCTCAATTATTTTCTCCATTCCCTTCACATATATATTAGAATCGGGTAGCTAAAAAACGGTAACGTTATTATCATTATTTTGACCAGTTTTAGTTTCAAACATACTAATAAAAGTTGTAAACACTTTGAGAAGTCAATGGATGTGACATCGGTGGTGTCCAGAAACTTTTGACAGATCTGGAGCTGACAAAGATTGGCCACTGCGAAAATGATATCTCGCTTAAGTCCTCGCAATTCTGAAAATTGAAGACACAATTGTTAATATACATTGCAACGTTATGTTATTTATCATGTCCTTACCATCTCTTAACTGCGCTGCATAGAAGCGAAGGTCTTTCTCTAAAATATCCACTTGCCTCATCAGTTCCAGTGCCTCGGGCATGTTCTCCAAAATTCTTTCTATCTCGGCTAACGAATTACTCTGCGACGTATCGGTGAGATCCAAAAATATGTGCGTGTGGGCATCTATAAAGGGGAAGCAATAAGAAATTACATATTTTACAGTGTTAATATCGCTTAATATTCTTACTGGTTAATTGATCAATCACATGGGTCTCCATCTCCTCGTAGTTGTTCATCATCAGATGATAAACGTGATCGGACACATCCTTCAGATAGGTGCAAGTGTCCTCGCTGCCACGCTTCATCGTCTCGGATGTCTCGGAAAAGCCGCTGTCAATCATTTTGTTGGTAACAAAGGCGATAATAATGCCAAAGCTGCCGGAGAGATCGATTCGATGGTTAGATGGGTTAGAATCACTCTTTGATATGAATGTCTAGCATCCTTCACTTACATCAGTCCAATAACGAGCAGTAGCAGACAGATGCCGCAGCAGAAGCGTCGCTGGGCATCCTGTTTACTGGTACACGGAGGGCAGCCCTGTCGACAACGTCGGCAACAACAGAAGCAGCAATAGCATACTCTGCGGGAATAGGAATATATATATAAATACTAATATCATTAAACATTTAGGTGTGTTTAACACTCACGCAATAAACGGTATAACAATAATGAGCACCACAAGAACAAACACACAGATTAGAACCATCCAATAGTGAGCAAGAAGATCACGCCAGTCATTCTCCTCAACCTTGGGGCCCAGCCTCAATGTGTCCCCGTTACTTACTACAATGTAACCTGTACAAATATTTTGATTAGAATAAATTTTATTCTCTATCAAGCACTACTCACCCTCCGGAATTGGCTCATCCCTATATAGGACCTTGTCATACAGAAAGTGTGTAAAATTGAAAATAGGGTTCATGGCCGATGTGGGAGGTTCTGGTTCCTTTGTGTAGTTGGACGTCGGCCTGTACTTGGTGTATTCCACTGGTGGCCAATGAGGTTGGCCGAGCTGCTCGTGAGTGGTTCCATGGTCAGCATATCCCTCACGCCATGATCCGGGCGCATTATCGTTTTGGGCAATTGCAGGCCGGATCAGCGTGGCCAATGCAAATCCAAATATGGCTACACTGAGTCCACATATGGCCAGGTAGGCTATCTGACGTCTCCGGCGCTGTCGTCGCTTCCGAGAACGCATGGTTTTCGACTTGACAGCGGCCAGAGGCTCTTCTGTGACCGCCGCTTGACTCATCTCCGGCTGCGTTTCAAAAAACTTCGTGCCTAGGAGAAGCTTCTTTAAACTCACTAACGTGCTAAGCAGCTGCTTTTGATCTTATTTCCTTCGGTGTAGTAGCCCACACCCATTTCACACGTCAATGACCGGCCTACAAAATAGAAAACACATAATATTAATAATGAATTATAAAATTAGTTATCCAAAATGTACAAAAAGTATATACAAGGAAGGCACACAAACCAATATTAGTAAGTGCTATGTAATAGACCCAGCCTTAGTAATTATCTTCGAAGTTTATCCTATCCACGAACAATTATCAAAGTAATCTTTAATATCAATTCCTTCGCATTTAAAATGTGATTGGGAGGGACAATGGGAAAACTGAATGATTTAAGAACATCCGAGGATCTAGGTTGGCTCACACCCTAATGTGGCCGTGGCATGTCCTCATCCAATAATAAATGCGTGGCAGAGGCAATAAAATATATTCGCTTCTTGGTGTGTCCAGGCAAATGGGGCATAATCCAATCCCTGACTTGGAATAGGATTGGCTCCACATCGCAATGCAGACACAAATACACACCCAGAGGCACTCTCACATCCACTTGACATCAATTAAGGTCAATAAAAGCCGAGAAGATGACAATGGGTTGAGGCATTAGCAGCCCGAGAATGCAATCCACTGGCGATACAAAGGACTGGGCCCCGGCATTGGATTTGGCACTTTGCCCACTGCTGGCAGGTGTTACCTCTATTTCGAGGAGGTGAAAGTTCCTTTGGCTTCGGTTGAATGCACTTGTCCGTAGATCATGAGTCACCAACTGTGCTAGAGTAAATAGCGTCCATGTTCAACCCTTGCATAATTACTCAAATATTAAATAACTAGCTTTGAGAAATACTAAAAATAGGCAAAGCAAATGCAAACGGCAGGGAAAAAACATATTGCTAAACAGAAAAAAATAGCAAAAAAAAATGTACATGCCCCGAGTGAGGCTCGAACTCACGACCTTAAGATTATGAGACTTACGCGCTGCCAACTGCGCCATCGAGGCATAAACACGTTGGCGGCAAATAGCAAACTTCTGCGGAAGATTCTAATGTAAAAATTCTATCTACAAAAAAATATACATGTTCAAATATATATGTATATATATATATATATATATACATACATGCGAAAATGCATATGCAAACATTTGTTTCAAATAATCAGTATATTCTCATTATTGATGTCAAATAAGCTACTGTTAATCTTGTTAAACTGAATCATAAAAAAGATTAAGCTTCGTGGCAAGCATTGTTATAAATCATTTACTTATTTAGTTACTCACATAACAAATGTAATATAATACACTATCTATTTATCTTTTTCATAAAAGATAACAAACAAAATTTTAAAAAAGATATTTAAAAACCATTTCTAGTTCTGGCGAGATTGTTGGTTTCCTTTAAAAATAAAGACTAAAACTAAACCAGTTCAGCCTGCAAGGGCATATAATTTAACTTGCTGTGTAATTTGTTTTGATTAAGATTCTTTTTCTTGTCGGCAACATTTTTTTTTTATAAAAAAGAAAAAACCGACTCACTATCAGCCTTGCTCATATTTCCAACATACATAGATCTAAAGAATGAGTGTGCTCATTTGATACCCGTCAGTGGCAACTGTAAATTTATGGCCATCGAGCCGAGCAACAAGCAGCAGTTACACTCATCGACTGTCTTTGCACAAGAGCCATAGACAAAGAAATCGAAAAGTTTAATGAACTTTGTGGGCGAGTGGACGATGGAAGGGCTACGGCAGGCTAATGCAAGCGGCCAAGGGTCTGCCCCTCGACTCGACGGCTTCCCTTGGCATTATGCTTTATAGCCTAGCCCTGGCCCCTGTCATACCCCCGAAACCCCGAAACCAGCACAGACTGTGTCGCAACACTACATATATTTATAAACACAATCGGAGCACTGCATTGCCGTCTGGTTATCTCAGAGGTTGTCCCGCTTTTTCCATGCTTACTTTCTGGAAAGAGCTTGATTAGCAGGCGTGTAAAAATAGACGTTTGCTGCGGATTGCACCTGATGACAGGGCCTTTATGTCTGTCCAAACAAGCGGACAAATGTTTTGGAGTCGATTGCGTATACGCAGCGTTGTCTGGCTGGGAACAAACTAAAGGCGCTGGAAAAACGATGCTCCATTCTCTGCTCTGATGCTTCTGTTACTGCTGCTGTGCAGAAAAATCTCTATACCCATGGAGGACTAGCCTTTGAACGGCCTTGACACGCGGCACGCTGCGGGCTACGAACTGGGGTCTTCTACGTCCCGAAGTTTTCTGTTTTACCCTTACCAAAATCTGACTTGGAACGGAACGCAGAACGCAAATGCTGAATCCAAAGCATAGCCAGAGGTCGCATCTTCTCAGCAATTTAGAGAAAACAAAACAATTTGCAGCTTCGGCTTTTTGGGAGGACATCAGGATAATCAGGGACATGCGCAGTCAAGGGCTGCAAGGATGCTGCACACCCTCGAACAGTGGGCGGAACAGGCCAACGCTCGGCAAGGCCGTACGAAAAATGCCCTTAATTCCGGTTAGAGTTCAGTATTACACAGTACAAAAACAAAATGTTTTTCTATGTTCATTTTATAAGAATCTATCTTGAATTCTCTTCCATTGGCTATTTTGTAAAATTTGCAGAAATCGTTAAATGAGAAATTCAAGGTATTCAGTAAGTAAACAAATAAATCAAATGGAAATTAAAGAAATGCGGCCATAATGTGCATACCTAATAATAAAATGGCTAGAACGCAAAAGCAAAGTAATAATAATAATCGGGTCGTAAAATGTACACAATTCCAGGAATCTGTTAATTCGAAACAAAAGAAGTCGTAAAAAGTATCTAACCAGAATCAAACATTATCTCTATAGTATTTGCTAAATAAATCTCAACTCTCTCCTTACTAATAGCAATAATATCAGGCTAATAAAAAGTACACCATTCTAGTACAGAGTGTTTCACAATCTGCTAATTTGGAGAACAAACTTGTTTGTAGAATGAATCAAAATAAACTAGATTATTTAAAGGCTTTAACAAGCTGTTACGAACATAATATACCCATTGTCGTCAGTGAGTGTCTGGTATCGTAATAAAATTTCCCTTTTAGGTAACGTGAGTCAAAGCCTGTAACAAAGGCAACAATCCATCTTTTGAAATTGAATGGGTTCCGCCTGTTCCTACCCAGCTGATTGAATCCACCTGGTTTTTTTCTTATTTTTGCACCAACAAGAGAAAGTTGACAAAGTTTTAAGAAAACTTATTTGGCGATACCCGTATTGGGTCACAGGCACGGACCAATAGAACAGGTGGCACCTGTATCTGCGGAGACGCCAAGTGCAAGGTACTTAAAAATCTGCTAGCAGCTAAATCAGCAAAAGTAGAACCCGAACATTATTAACTTAATGACGGTACCTGAGCGTCGGTCGCTTATGGCTTGTATAAACAAAAGAATTAAATACAAAGTGAAGGTTGAATTAATAAAAACAAATTCCTCCATCTACACAGAGTCACAATCAATGTCAGTAATATCGCAAAAAAGAAAAATGCTGAGTGGTACATAAATACAAAAAATAATTCACATGAAGGTAAAAAATATGCTGTACTTATTGGAATTTAAATGAAAATAAATTAGTATTTTGATTACGAAGATAGCAATGACCTTTCCTGATTTAAGTAGCTTTGATATCTTTAAATATCAGCATGTGTTGGCTGAATAAAACGATATATAGAAAACTATTGAATCAACATATTATTTTTAATTCTTTACTATTAAATCTACATATTATTTTTATGAGTAATGCAATTGAGTTCTTTAAGAACTCTATGTAAAGCGATAACGTCCACATATATCACACACTCAAAATAATAAGTGGGAAGTTTGTGATTAATCTGTTTATAAATATAAACTTTTCCCAAGAAAACTGCAACTAACTTGGTGACTGATTGAATTGAGAGCACACACACTTCACATCATCTCTTTTCATTTCGGACCGCCTCCGCCAAATGACATCCACATCCACATCAAAATTGGAACAGCCGGCGGAGAAGTCCATGGACGCCGTGCCGAGGCGAAAGATATCGCAACAGAACAGGTTGCCCTGCCGATGAAGTGAAGTCGTGCCAAAGCAAAAACTCGTTTCTTGTGACTCACTCCCCGATATAAAAACCGCAGAAAAATGGGCTAATCACACAAGCAGATACAAAGTAAACTTCTTTAGATCAAAACTGAAACACTGAACGAATCCAAACAAAGGAAGTCGGGTAATGCAGATGGAGAAAAGGGGCGGAAATGAACTGAAAAGTCAAAACATCGAGTAGTAGTTTGCATTACTTTACTAAAGAAACGGAAGCCAAATACACTGTCAGAAACGGGAGATACGTGCTCAATGATGCATTATATCATCTTGATTCTCTGACGTTGAGTCAGCGTATTTGCTAAATGAATCTGATATGAAGGTTGACAATCTCTTGCTCACTTATCCAATTGCTTATCATATTGCAAACCTTAGACAAACTTTGGTCTATTTTAGGTTTGTTCTCGGTTGTTGAAGGTAGACATTAGAGATCCACTCAACTGGTTAGCGTCATATGTTTTCCATTTGGCCGGGCAGTACTTAATTAATGATTCTGAACTCTGGGCTAGGCATATTTGTCTTTAATTCAAGCTAATATTAACGTCTCCTTACAGATTTTATGTTAGTTTACTTTTAGATAGCGGAAAGCTTATGATATCATTATAATAATAATTAGTTTATGTTCTTAGTTCTTCATCTTTTATTTATAACTAAAGTTTGTCGCTTAAGATTTAATTACTATAACCGGACTTGAGTAGTTTTAAACGTTATCGTTCATTTTGGGACTGTTAAAAATCATTTAACAGTTCAAATCGGCATATGTTTGAATGTACACTACCAAAAATCAAAGGAAATATAATTTTCACTGACTGAGCTCGCTTTTTAGCTTCCCAATGTACAGCTGTACTTAAAATAGATTTATCAGACTTATAAAATTAAAATTTCTCGATGACTGGTTTTTTGGAAATACCAGTGTGCATATTTTACTATGAGACATAAAATGCTTGCTTCTTTAGGCAGAATTTAAAGTGTGTTGCTCTTTTTCAGCGGTGCTTATTGAGTTCTGTGAAGTGTGAGTCTGGGAAATGATAAAATAGCACCCGAAACACTATAAATACACGGATTCCACTCGGCTGGGTGCCGTTTCCACCACACGCATCCGTATCTCAGGTCAGGGATGTATGGTACACGGTATATGTGTATATGCGGGTGCGTGTGTGTCCGCGGGTGTTCCTTTTTCAAGTATTTTGTATTGCGAAGAGCAATTAGTGCAGTGCCACATATTAATTATGCACACTGCCAGGTGGGAATTCTGAACGACATGGCGATGAGGATGTATCATATAATTCGAAGCAGGAAGGGCTAGTATGACCACTAATTCAACACCGCAAATTGAATAACTCGAGTCTCGGGTGTGTGTAAATTGAAATAAACAGAATAAATGAGCCGAACGACACTCACCAACATCGACAACCGCCGCCTAAGCCAATTAAGCTGGCTTTGGGACTCGGATTCGTGGAAGATGATGCGATGTCCAAATCCAATTAGTCGTAGGATCCAGCGATCGGCCACAATTTCAGATTTCCACGTTCGTATCACCCAGATGCTGCAAGGGAAGCGTGTGGAATTGTTTTAGATGGGTTCCTCGGTAACGTAGCCGTATTTGCAATAAAACACCCAATTTGGAACTTTAATAGTGAAATTTGGCAACCTTATAAAAATGCAGATCGATTGAATAGCGTTGGTTTAGGACTAAAAATTAAAGATTGTGTTTCCGTGTTAATTCGTGTAAAACTTCAGTCAAATATCACCTATTATTAACAGATAAATCAAAACCGATGGAAAGTTCTTTGAACGAAAAAAATGAACTCGGAATTCAGGTCGTTGGCGCAGCGATTTTCCCAGTTTCCCAATTTCCAGCTTCCAATGGCCCTTTTGGCCTAATTGGAGTTTTCCAAAGTGAAGTCTATGTAAAATATGAATATTTATTAATCCAATGTAAAACCCTTTACACGATTTTAAAACCAACACGCACAGGTATGTATGTTATATATATATAAGGCTTTATTTGTATGTATCACTGCACTGCACCGCCCTTTCGAAACATTCTGCTCTTTGTTTTATTATGCTCAGTTCCACCTGGCATTTGTTGTGATTTTCACTCGCTTTTCATATTTTCCCGTACCAGTAGGCGTGGCCAATCGAATTTCAGTCACGCGAAGGAACGCTTCATTCAGACTAGATCCGCCCCGGAAATTCACCTTTTCTATTTCAATTTTATCCGATCGAAAAATCTTCGCATTTCAAAGAGTTCTGGCCAGTGTGACCGTTGGTGAAGCGTACAAATATGCCTTCGTGGCTTAGAAATATTTACTAAAAGATACCTATATAATTTTCTGGATGAATACAATGCAACCCTCGAAAATACTTTAAGAAACGATAAGCGGAGTCTACAACCTTAACCGAAAAATTAATTTTAAATTTCAATTTGTTTCAAAATTATAAAGCTTAATTTAGCGCTCTTTTAAAACAGTAAATTCAAAACTTAAATTGGTTGTTATTCAATTTCTTAAAAACAATGTTAAAAATATGATTTATTGAAATTGTGTAAAATAGTGGCTTCAAGCTTCCTGCTGAATATAAGGGACCCTCGAAATATGTTACCAGTCTCATCAATGCGAATAAAGATTTGCATTTTTATAGAAAGCAGGAGCTTTGTTAAATACTTACTTTATAAGCTTTATCATAAATGAGTCTTGAGTTCATTGTACTAGCGTTTCATTAAACAATTTTGTTTTATTTTGGTTTCGTTTAAAACACTAAATTACACGTTAAATCATTTACAATCAAAATTTGGGTTCAGTTTTCTAGTATACTGTCTCTCGCAGTCCCCCTATTTCTTTTTTAAGGGGGCGCTACTCCATTGACCTTACCTCTGCTCACACGGGTGGATGTGTATGTAAACGTCCTACGTCTGCGAGTTTTTCTTTGATTTTATTTGTGGGAGGAGGAGCGAGTGGGGAAACTTTACACGGTTGTAGCAACTTCGAAAAATATAACTTTCATATCTATAGTACTATACATACACATGCACGTGTGTGCTCCCTATATGTACGTTCAAGCATTGACTTCATTAAAGGCTCTGCATTATCTTGCTTTATCAAAATAAAAACTACAGCGTTGCACATGATCGGAGGCGCTAACTTCGCATTCGGCTAAATTAAAAACATTTCGATTTTTGTGTCAGTACCCATACATATATCTCTCTATATATATCGTATATACATATTTATCGTGTATATACCTTAAGGTTTTCGGTTAAAGTCGCCTAGTTTGTGACCCGATTCATTATAATTTTCAATTCGTTTTTGTTTTTTAGAGTTTAGACTTTAAATCACTACAATTTTCAAAGTAAAGCTTAGTATTCAGTTTATTTGGATTTTCCTCTTCTTAATTGGTGTAACTAAACGGCTTTTGGGAAAAACAGAAATGTGTGTTAAGCCCAACATGAAATGCGATCGATATTCAGGATCCCGAACTGTGTGTGTGCATTGTGCTGTGCTGAATTTACGCATTTTTATCCGAAGATTTTGAATTACACTTACTTTGTTTTTTATTTGGCAGTTATTTTGTTGTTGTTGTTGCAAAACAATTTTAGCTCTAACACCTGTGTCTGCTGTGATGTAATCCCAACCCGAAGAGAACTAACAGTCGCTAAAGCAAAAGAAAACGAAAGCCAGAAGCCGGAAAAGCGGCAAGCACGGGCACGGGCCAATCCAATATGTGACTACGTTACTTAAGCAATAATAAATTAGTTACGAAATATAATTGGGCTGAGGTGATTGGTGGTGTGGTGCACTTAACGGAAACTATGATAAAAAAAGAAGATCTAACCACGAAAACATTAACATCATCTCGGCCTGATCTGCGATATATATGCACCTAATAGACTCGGAAACTAAAGCCAAACTAGTTACAGCATTTGTTACAGTTACAAAATCCTTAACTCCTTAACACTGCTTATACGTATCTATAGCCACCAGCTGGGTTCAAGTTGTGTGGATAGGACGCCGGCGATGGAGCGCACTACAGCTGCGCCAGCGAGTCGGAACGGATGAGCGGCGCCAGGGAACTGGGCGCCTTGTGGCCCGTCTCAATCTCGTACTGCACGTCGAGCGAGGCACCTGCGAAAGATCGGAACGAAAGTCATCACTGTGTTCACAGCACTTGGAATTTTATTCATGATCATGACTAAGTTGCAACTGGCCCATTTTGCCCTGGGATGATAGGTGGATTGATGGAGGGTATACTATATGATTATATGACTTGACGACTCTGTACTCTTACGTTTCTTTTCCAAAGTGGAAGTCTGTCCCTCCGGAATGAACGCCGCCACTATTATGGCACAGAAGACGCACAAGGCGCCAAACACGAAGGGCGGACCCGGCACATGCTGAGAGATCTTCTCCACGTTCGTCGCCCTGCTGCCACTGCTCTTCGCGTGCGAGTCATGATCGTCGTTCAGGTCCACGTTGAACAGGTAGAAGACCACGCCAAACACCGCTGGCCCTAGGCCATTGCACAGACCCCTCATGCCCGTGATCATGCCCTGGACAGCGCCTGAAATATTTAAATTTGATTTAGCAAGGATATGTTTAAAAGAATAGTAAAATATGGAAACTTACCCTGACTCTCAGGAGCCGCATAGAGGGATACGAAAGCGCTGATGGCGGGATACGTAATAGAGCCCAAGGCTGCCACAACCCCAGCCGACCACATCATCCTACACCATACATATTATATTATTTAGCTAGCCCTCGTATTAGAGAAATAAGATGACCACTCACCACTTCTGACTGCCAAAGCCGTACCACAGCAGCTGCACGATCTCTAGGGCTAGGCCCATAATGATCGTGCGCTTGGCCCCGAACACTCTGACGAAGATATAAGTCGTTAAACACCAATTGGTAAAAATGGATAGATTGAAACTCACTGCATGAAGGAGCCCAGGGTTACTTGTACCGTAATGCTGAGAATGCCTACTATAGCTATGAACACCGAGACCTCCACGTAGTTGAAGCCCATCTTCAGCTTGAGATAGACAAACATGCAGGAATACTCTCCGGCCTCGGGCAGATAGGATAACAGCACAGTGAGGCACAGCATCAGCACGGTTTTGTCGGTGCCCACTTTGCGCAAAGCCTAAAAAAGACTCGAGTCTTAAAATTCCAGTTTCACACTTTAGAAACCATAGCTTCCTTACCAGAAAAGGATCCGCCTGTTCCCAGCTAATTGGCGCCCCCCACGAGGCAGGCCGCATCTTCTCCGATAGACTCTCCGGCACAGCCACCAGGATGAAGAAGACATCCAAAAGCGCAATGGCCGTGGAGAGGGCCACGACCAGCGTGTCGCCATACATCTCCATCAGGGCATTGCCCAGAGCCGGCGAGATGACCAGGCTAGCGGCAAATGTGGCCGATGCCAGTCCATAGGCCTTAGAACGCTCTTCCGGCGTGGTGACGTCCGCAACATAGGCAAACACCACCGAGAAGGTGACGGCGAAGGCGCCGCTTATTGAGATCATGGCAAAGAACCACCACGTATTGATGGACATCAGCGGTATGGGCAGGCAGGTGAAAAATACTGTGACTAATAGGAAAAACTTTCGGCCCCAGATATCCGAAAGGGCGCCGATCAGGGGCGCCGACAGGAACGACAAGATCCCCTTAATGCCCATGACTAGGCCGTTCATGAGGAATGTGTGATCCGGGAACGTCTGGTTGAGGGTCTTTAAGGGAGAAATACAGAAGGTAAGAAAATATAAGAGATTATAAAGCTATCCAGAACTCACCGATATTATAGGCATGGTTAGCAGACCCCAGGCGAAGAACTCTAGAAATATCACAACCAGCGCATGATGAACACTCGGCTCCCCAATTCCGGAACTCTGTGGATTAAATTAGACCCCTTATTAGCAATAATACAAATGTATATGCGATACAGATAGATATCAGCTAAGTAAAGAGTCGTGCCCGCTGCCAATTGGCATAATTGCAGGATGCACTGGCGCACGGACGGAGGCGACGCACCCAAACGAGTGCGTCATCGTTATGAACACCCAATCAGTTGATAAGGCGACGACAATGCCGCGTTAACCCTTTGAGGCCCCAGCCAATTGGTGGCTGCCTTTATTTGTAAACATTTGAGTCCCGAGTCAGCTAAAAATAAATTGTACTAAATGCGAAATTGTTTGAGCTCGTTAACTGCCCCAATGTCACCCGAGGAGGCTCCGATGGATTCGGAATGCCGCCAACTGATTTGTTTTTTGCCGCTCATCAATAAATAGAAGACGAAACCCGAACGAATGCAGGAACCTTTTTAAACTAATCAAAAAGCTTTTATGCTGATCATAAAATATCAAAAATGACAAGCATTCAATATTAAATCTATCAAACTAAGTACTGTGATACGGAGCTAATTTTAAACTTCCTTGAAAAGCTAGAAACAGTTTCTTAATTACTTAAAAATATTTGTTCTTTTCATATTTGCCTTAGATTTATAATGTATTATTGAACAGAGTAAAAATGACCGACTAATAGAAGATCCTATAGGGTTAAATGCGACTTCTAATGAGTTATATTAATTATTATTTACTACAGCTAATTAACTATAAACTTTTATTGATAACAACGACATCTAATGAGTTCCGTGAATCATTATTTTCTATGTTAAATTAACTGGAAACCTTAGTTGATAAGCGGATCAATCCTATGTTTTCTTTTTTCTAACTATTTTATTATAGTATATTATTATATTCTTTAACTTATTCTATAATTGCAATATTAAGTAAAATTTTAAAACCAAATAATCTCTATTTTCTATGATCCTATCATATTTTATGCTACAAGGTTTAAGATAGGTGATATCTCTTAGATAAATTCATGTAAAGCGACTGTTTATCTTACATGTGGTAAACCTTATCAGATTATTATGGAAAAGACCCAACGACAAAAAAGTAATTTGATTAGAGATAAATATGTTTAACCATAAACCAAGCCCTATTAAAAATATATTTCTGTAAAACTTAACTAAAAAATCGGCAAACTTATCAAGAATTTTAGATCTTATGTAAGATTCCCAGTTTTTTTATAAAATACCTTGCAGCAGCAGAAGTTGCAGACAACCCGCAGCCACTCGAAGAAGCGGTTACGCTTGGGTCGTTCTGGTGGCGCGTCAGAGTTGGCACCCTGTGATCTCATCGAGATGTATGAGGCGGCCGAATGTGTCCTCCTGTGGGCGGCACCTGCGCTTCCGCCACATGCCCTGCTCGATCCTGAGGTCGATACGACCGCCGTTTCTGCAAAGGCTGCACTGGGATGTGCCGCTGCAGCTGCATATCGCGATGTCTGCGGAGTCGTGGAAGAGGAGGAGGAGGATGTGGCGGCATTAGAGAGGGAGTTGTGCCCCTGATCGCACCCACTTACCGTGGGCACATCATCCAGATCGGGCTGCTGACTAGAGCTGGAGCTAGAGCTGCTATCCGCCTGCTGTTGATCCTTCAAGGGTGAGTGGCGCTTGACTAGCTGACTGCCACGACCGCCAAAAGCGGGAGGAGAGAGGGGCAGGGAGCTGATAGTCTCAACATCGGCCACATCCGCCGTTGTCGGAGTGGAACTGCTGCTATGGGTACTCAATGTGTCTGTCTGTTCGCCCGACTCCTGCCGCTCTCGATCACGTTCCTCCCTCGCCGCCGGTTTCCTTTTGCTTGCTGCTGAATTGACCTGTTCCACTTCGGAATCCTGCTCGAAATCCTCGGGCTCCTCCAGCTCAAAGCTGCTCTCCAGCGTCTCGCTTTGCCGCTGGTCATAGTTTCGCCCACTGCGCATGGTCTTGTAATCCGCCGCTCTAGCTGCGTGTCTCCCTATTGGTATTTGATGCTTCTCTGGGCTCTCGTATCACACTAATTTCCATTGCCACGGGTCCACGAACATATGGGGTGAACGGTTGTAGGTGCTGTTTAATGATTTCGGGATGCGATCCGGTTCACTTCTCTGCACTCCGCTTATCTTCACGGTTTCTGCGGCGATCGAAGCGAGGTCTATCTTATCATTTGTTTGGCTTAAACACGATGTTTCCGCTACCGAACTGTTCACTTTGAGGCTGAGGCACTTTTCTAGCTGCAATTAAAGTTGGCCAACCGATTGTCGCTTACTCATTTGATTTCACTCGAAATTCGCGATTTGCTTTCAGCTGTCCACAGAGGAAGTTCTCTAAGGAGATCAGGTGTCTATCAGACAGTAGAACCTCACTGGTAAATAATTATCTTAGGTTAAACACTCATGTTCTTTGTGATAATCGAAATGATTAAACCGAAATACTATTTATAAGTGAGTCATGAAGAAGTTTAAATTTAAGTTTTTTGTATTTAATTATAAATCGTAACTAATCCTTAGAGACGCCGCAAAGTATGCTTTAAGTTCAATCTGAGTGTGTTATCCACATATTTGCTTGGCCCAGATTATTAAAGATCGCGCTAAAAGCCAATTTGGCCCCGCACTTAATCCCATTGCTTTGTGGCGATTTTAGCACCCTGGTGCAAATCGCAGCTCGAAAATGGATCGATCAACATTAGCAAACGAGCAAACGAAGCGATTTAAATCGCAGCATATCAAAGTGAAATAAATGGAAAATCAAGTTCAATATCGGGGCTGCCTGGCGATTCACAGCAATTTTCCGACAATGTCAGTTGGGTAGAGATTTATGTGTTTTTGTTTCGATGTGTCCGGTCTGCAAATGTTGCGAGGATTAAACACACATACCCGACAATGACTTTTGGATCTCAGAACTCAAGTCAGCCCCCAGCAATTCTTACAATGCGCGGCAATATCGATCGTTAAAATTTTAATTAAACCAACACCCGAAAAAAAGTCACTTAGAATTTTGACAAACATGTGAATCAAAAACATCTCCAACTCTGACGCTGACGATATCTCGATTGTTTCCCCCAAAAAAAAAAAAAAACAGCGACGTCTGCTCCGTTTCGATGTCCGCGACTCACTAAATGGATCGTTTGAGGGGACTCGGTTCTCCAGCTCTCACTGCCAGTTCTCTACTTCTCCCCCAGTTCTCCAGTGAGCGGAAGCTCGACAGAGCACACATAAACCGAGAGAAACACATGTACACCTGCTGTGGAGCTTATTTGGAAAGAGTCACAGCAATAAGAGTCACTCGATAAGAGTAACGAATGAAAATTATGAATCTTTTATATTTTTACTTAGTCAACTAGTCCGCAAAAATATAGATTTTTTGAAAAAAAGAGTGAATAATAAAATGAATCCTTATTCAAATCAGTCCTAAGATTTATGATGAAATGGGTAAAAATTCTCTAAAAACACATTTTAATCCTCGTAATAAAGAAACTTAAAACCTTTATGGACTGCACTTTTTATTACCAAATAACTAGGGTATTCAGAAATCGAACACTAATTCTAGCAACACGTTTTTATCGCCATTATCTACCGATAAAAAAGTTTCGGATGTTTGTAAAATGGATAATTCTATTAACCAAAACCAACGAAAATACCCCTCACGTAAGCGAGGAGTCCACATGGTGCTACGGGTAGCCATAATAAAAAGCCCAAAAGTAATTGTCGCACATATCAAATAGATGAGCTTGACAACGATGATGAAAGTTTCTCGCCAAAAGCAAATGAGAAGCGGCCTCCGGTACAATGGAAATGTTTTTGCTGCCCAACCACATAAAATTGATTGTTATCTGACTCTCGGCAATTATGCTCCGACTACTTGTGTTGGCCTAACAAAATTCCAGATGACGGGACCGAAAAAGATGAGGCGAGGTTGTTCTCGGGACACAAGCTTAATAGCATGTAAACATAATAATATGTGAATAAGCAACCAAATAAGGAAAACGAATGAGGTGAATAAACAACATGAAGGTAATTCTATATATAAAAAACATTTTATAAAAGTGAAGTCTAGTAACAGGGAGAATCCTAATTTCATCTTGATTATAAAATACTATTTCCAGGAATGTAAATTAATATGAGTGCAAAAGCCATTCTTTTTACGTTCTTTTCCATTATAATCTGTAAAATGTGAAACCAGAATATAATTTACACTGCCATAAACCCAACCAAGTTCGCAAACTTTATGCGCATAAACATCCGTTGGCTGCCGACCGCTGTGCGTGGAATTAGTTGGATAAAACCCATTTAAACTGATCCGAACTGAGCTCAGCCGCCGTGCATAAATCATGGTGATGGTGACCTGACCGCCAGTCCGTGAGAAGCAGCAATCGGGTCAAGTGCAGGCCGGAGAACTCACAACACAAATTTAATTTCCTAGCCTGGACAAAGGAACGAGGTAATGGAATGCAATCCTGTTGCAGCCGGGACAGCCTGTTGTCCGAGAAGGAAACGCCAGCTGCCAAGTCAATCATCGAGAGAATGAACAGGAGGATCTGCTGCCCACTGATGGGTTGAAATCCATTCACATGGCTACATGTGTCGCATCAAAAGGCATTAGGAACGACCTTGACAGGAGCGGAGAGGCAAGCGCAGTGGAAAAGAGGGAAGTCCGGAGGAAAGGAATACAACCGGACGGATAGACGGACAGACATCCGTTTTGGGGACACAAAAAAAAAAAAACAAATGGAAAAACAGACAACAAGTCCACGATGGCGTAACGATTTGGCAAGAGACAAGCTGGAAAACACATTTCCATGTTTTCCTTTCATTAATGTCACAAAAAAGAGACTAGCGAACAGTTAGTCGCTGGGCTGGGCACTGCCAAATTGAAAAACCGGCTAAAATGGGATGTGAGCTAACGACTGACGGGTATTACGTGCCCTCAAATGTGGGGAATTTAGTTTTTTTCCTAATTAATCTTGCCGGTCATGGGGGAAAATTCCATATGAAGGGTCTACCCACAGGACATGCAAAATGAAAAAAATAAAGAAAAGGTTGCCAAGGTCAAGTTGGGGGCCACACAATGGGCCGTTCAAATATTCACAGACCAGCGCCATTCGTGACCCAATCTAAACTCCATTAAAATGCATTTAACCCCACAGAGAAAAATAATTCTGAAAAACTTTACGATTTACTCTATTCACTTTAAATATATGACTTTGTTATGGAAAAGTTTTTGTTGACATTTATTGTGAATTTCCAAGAGCAAACAAAAACAAAGTGTAAGACTGGAAAATAGAATGCATAAAAAATATTATAAATCAGCACTTTTATTCAAATTTTTAAGATTATATTTCTGTAGAGCCACAACCCCTTCCTCTAGAGAAGTTTTGCGCACGTGGCGCTCTTGATTTCGTTTTGGATTTCGCAATAAGACCAAGACCACCAGACAATGGCCAATAGCTGGCAACTCCATTGTTGTGGCTTATTGAAAAGTAGGCCAAAGCCCAAGCCACCAAGGACGAGTTGGCAACACAGAAGTTTCGCCTTAAAGTGGAATATCCTGCTCTCCCCTCCTCTCCACCTCTCCTGTGCGCAACGCAACCTGCCAAAGTCAAAGATTATCGCGCGTGAGTGGGTGGTTGGAACCTTAAGCAGAGGACTCTGCCAGGAACCGAGGACTGTCGCAATTTTAATTAAAAATATTCCAGCTTGCCTGACGGCACACAAATCAATCAGCGACACTTTTGGCAGAGTTAAGCACCCCAAAAGCGAGGTATTAAAAAATAAACAATGAGCAGAATTCTATGAAATTTCCTTTATACCTTTTTCCTATCCGGGTTTATTGCTTCAAAAGTGTGGGAGGGATTTTTAAATTAAACTCCTTCAGTTTGGGTAGCATAATAATAAATCATTTCCCAAAGAAGTAATTAAAAACGAAGAAAGATAAACTTTTTTCTAAAAGATTAAATAAAGCAATTAAATAAAACACTTTAAACTTAATGAGCTTTACTTAATATGCTCTACCAAAAACAATAGAATAGTTGGAAAAGCTCGTCTTAAACAGTGAGTAAGTTCTTAGTTCCGAGTATTCCTCAACGGAACTGTTTAAAATTCTTGCTGCCATAAAGTGAAACTGAATACGCGCATGTGGGGACTTCTCTATCGACCAACGATGCTCTTTCATCTTCCACCAAGTTTGATGCCAAATGTCAGCCCACATGAAAAAGGGACTTGCTGACGACTGGTGGCTAATGGAGAGCATTCCCAACGCCAAGGTCATGTGAGTGCAAGAGCAAAGCGGAAAAGCAATAGGAAGAGGAGGGAGGCGCTGAGAGAGAAGAGAAGAGAAGAGAAGAGAAGAGAAAAGAAGAGTCACTGCCAAAGCAGATGCTGTTGAAATATTCAATTCAAAGCCTGCAGCGCGCGTGCAACGCTGCGGATACGTATTCCTATACAACTACGTATACGTAATGTGCCCGTTCACATTAGCCTACCAGCAAACACACACACACACACAGCTGTCTGTTTGTATACATTCTCGTGGGGCAAACGCTGCCTGCTGCCTTTCAATATTAAAAATAGTTTGTCAACAACGTGGCCAGAAAGTGTCAAGCTGCGACGGCTGCAGCGGCTAAATTGGTTCGGGCCCAGCAGGATGGGAAGGATGCCAGGATGGGGTAAAGATGAGTTAGAGAGCTCACTGGCTTTCTAGGTTGGCAAATCGAATGAAAATAATCAATTCTATTGATTTGCTACCGGAAATCTGTAATAATAATGTTTATATATAAATTGAGAAAAAATAATAAATTGGAATTTATTCTGCACAGCAAATTCCTCGAAGGTGAATAATTCTCTATCAAAGATATATAAAATGTTCCCTGTTATCAGGCTGCCTGATATGAAACAGATGAAACACTAAACATCCGGTTTTGCTCGTTGAACTATAACGAAGTTTTAACGAAAACATTAAATCATTTAAAAGGTGTTTTCAGCCAAAGCTTCAGCATTATGATTCAGTTATAGTACATATTCGACTCTTTAAATTTATATTTTCATGAAAAATATCCTTTCTATTTTTATGAACTTATCAGATTTTAATAAGCTGAATTGTTCAACTCAACAACTTAGATATTGACCGAGTTCAGGGCATAACTATAATCAAAACGGGCGCAGGACACCAAATGATTTATGTGTGTACCCTTATATTGATTTAGCTCGGGGGTTTACACACAGATTCCGGCAGTAAGATAATGGAAATTGCAGTGCTGGCTGTCGCCCATTCAGCAAAACCATGGAATCAAAGGCAATCCCATCCGAAAACACCCAGATTTCATCAGAACCACAAAATGGTTGGAAAAAAGCGACCAAGTCAAACCAAGTAAATGGCGTCTCTTATTGATTAGCGGCGATGATGCACACCCACCCAACAGAACCGAACCCCTGGCACCACCCATCCGACAAGCCGAAAGCTAACCCGATCTGAATCTAAATTCGATTCCGAGCACCCGGCTGACCTTGCAGGCCGCACCAAGCACGGCCGCATGCACCAAGCACGGCTGACTGGCAAACACGGAACACAAGCAATTTTAATAAATTTATGATTCTTGAACTGTTGCCCAAAAAGTGTTGACACAACAACAGGCCATCCGAAAAAAAAGAAGCAACAACCGCAAAAAGACTGTATAAAGGTTGCAACACGACAGGACTGCATCAGCGGAAGTCGTGCAGTTAATTTGCATAAGGAGACAACGGAAGCGATGGCTCGGAGGCTTGGCACTTGGCCAAAACGCCACAGCCCACAACTAGTCACACTATTTTGCTTAGATAATTCCTGTCACATAGTATTAAGAACTAGGGATTCTCTAGAGAGTTAAAAACATCATGAAATTTCTTTAAAAGGGACACATAAAACGTAAAATTTAAAGTAGTAAGTGAACTTTCATAATTCCCTAAATAAAACTTTATAAAATTACTCTTTTAATATGTGTCGACATATCCCTAAACATTAAGGTAAAGTGAAAAAGTTTTAAGCGAACCATTGGAGTATGAAATATACCCAAATTTGCGACAGGAATCATCTCAGATTGTATAGGACATACTGCAGTTGACACTGCGGCATGTCTATGAGACAATAGACCCCTCAACTCCGACAAAAGGTTCCTCAAGAGGAGAGGCAAACAAAGCCTCGGAATTGGGAATATAATTTATGGATGGCAGTGTGTTATCTAACGGCATTTTATAAGACTTGAGCCGCCACTCATGTGGCGAAGTTTCGCCATAATTGATTGGTATTCGAGCCCCCGTCTGAGCAAATGTTTGCCCTGGCTTCAGGACTCAATCCTGAT